TAAAATATTTAATTTTAAAAAATAATTTGAGTCAATTAGGCAAACTCATTAAACCCTCCACTCGAGTCATGAAAATAAAATTATTTCATAAAAAATATATTAAAAATAATTACATAGTTCATCTCTTAATCAACTCATTGTTGAATTAATAAAAAAAAAGTCATTCTAGGTTAAATCAATTGAAAAGAAAGTAAATTGAAAAAAAAACACTTGGTTTTTAGATAAGGATAACCTTAAAAAAAACAAATTGAAAAGAATTAAGAAGCTCAATTCTCAAACTAATCTAACGTGGATAAAACTGAAAAAATATTTAATTAAAAAAATAAAAAAAAATCATCACAAGTAAACTTATTAAACTTGTGATTTAGATTATGAGATTGGAATAACACTATAAAAAATAAAGTGAAAAGAAATTATGAAGCCCATTCTCTAACCAACCTAATACTAAAAGATAAAATTAAAAAAAAATTAATTTTAAAAAATAACTTAAAAAAGATCGAAATCAGCCTGGGTTTATCTTCTAAACTCATGAATTGAGTAATGAGACTAGGATTGTTTTATAGAAAAAAATCATGAAGCTTCTTAATCAATTTAATGATGATTAATAAAATTAAAAAATAAACTAAAAAAATCTAAAATAAAATAAATAATAATTAAAAAATAAATATAAAATTTAATATAAAAATAAAATATTGGACACGAGAATAAAGGAGAGAAGGCAAAAAAAAATACAAAAAAGAAAAAATGAGCTCTCGTACTCCTCCATTAACAATATATGTCACACCATTAGGATGATATGAGTATGGGTGAACAATGTTTCTTCCATATCTTTTAGATAATCAAAAAAATATTATTAAGTGAAAATTTAAATAAATTTAATTTTAAAAATCAAATTAAAAAAAATACAAATGAGTGATCAAAAAGTTTAGGATAAATATTTCTTCTGCTTGTATAATTTAAGAAAAAAGGTTGAATGCATGTTTATTGTACAAATTCTATCCTCATAACTTTAATTATTTTAAATTAATAAACTTCCATTTAATTTTTTTCAAATTAAGCATCAATGGGTTTTTTTTCCAACACTCCTAGATCTCATAATTTGGGTAGAGAAAACAAACTACCAAGTTGAATTCAATATAAACAATGAGGGACAAAAATAGCACAAAAACAAAGGATTAAAATAAAAAAAACATTATAAATTTTTATTATAATTATAATACACAGTGAAGTGAATTTTATTCGCACCATCTAATTTTGCTATAATAATTCAATAGAAAAGCAATATTTTCTAAATACCTTGTAATTTTGTTTAAGAGCATGTTTAAAAGTGTGGTTGCTGTTGTTTTTCAAAGTGTTTTTCATTTAGAAAAGTGTGCTAATAATATTTTTTTATTTTTTAAAAATCATTTTTAAAATTAGCACATTAAAATAATTTGAAAATATCAAAAACATATTAATTCAAAACTAAAAAAAAAAATTAAAATTTTTTCAGAAACGTTTTTCCAAGTAATACCAAACACCCTCTTAATATTGGATGTAAACGCAACTACATCAAGTGCGTGATGCACTCTCTCTGATGATGATGATCCTTCAACTCATAAAAGCAAATATTGTTTCTAGAAGAACATATATTTTATTTAATTAATATAGGTATTTAGGTTGAATATTATAATATAATGGCATATATATAAAATGTAATAAAGCTAAGGCCATAATTAATAGCGAACTTGGCCAAGAAAATCATAGCAGTGATTACACACGCAAACGATCATTAATTAAGTGACCATACCCTTTCATTGAAAGTAAAAGTAGAGTTGGAATCTCCATCTGGGGAAGCTAGTCTAAAGATACCGCCAACTTAAAATATATAAATAAATAAATAAATGACCCAAACAAATTAAAAATTATAGTTAACTACAAATCTATCATTTATTCTCCATCTGGGAAAGCTAGTCTAAGGATACCGCCAAGTTAAAATAAATAAATAATACATAAATAAATAAATGACGTTGACAAATTAAAAAATATAATTAACAACAAATCTATCATTTATTCTCCATTTGGGAAAGCTAGTACAAAGATACTGCCAAGTTAAAATAAATAAATGATGCTAAGAAATTAAAAATTATAGTTAACTGCAAATCTATTATTTATTCTCTGTTTGGGAAAGCCAGTCTAAAGATACTGCCAAGTTAAAATAAATAAATAAATAAATGACGCTAATAAATTAAAAATTATAGATAACTACAAATCTACCATGGGTCCATAGATAAGCTTTAAATGTTAACCATCATAAATTAACTATATCAATTTCAAGAAAATATTATTAAAAATTATTTATTTTTATGTTTTAAAAATATTTTATAAAAATTTAAATTTTTTAATTTAAATTAATATATTTTTAGTGTTATCAAATCATTTTAATATACGATATCAAAAATAAATTTTAAAAAATAAAAAATTATTAACATATATTTTAACACTAAAAATTATTTAAAAAATAACTATATTTATATTATTAAACAAATACTAAAGATATCAATATCACCAAAATGCTACCATTTCTATTAAATTCTTTAAAAATATCACTGGACCAAAATTATTAAAAAATACCGAGTAGAAAGAAAATATATATATATAAATGATAGAATATGTGGAAAAAAATGACACAAACTTAAAAAAAAAGAAAAAAAAATTAATCTCAGCTTTTAATTTAATCTTAATTTCTAAATTCTTCTCTCTCTTTGTTTTCCTATATTGTTTTATTATATATGCAAATTTAGTTTTTATTAAGTATTTTGCAAATTTGTTTTGTTAAATTCTTTACACATGCATTTAATGGGATTTTTTAATGATTACAAGTAAAAAATGGCATTGAAGTATGAGATAACATTAAGGGTATAATTGATATGATCAATTGATAAAGGGTAATATTGAAAACTCTAGTATATGTCAGGGGCATATCTTTAGTTATACTTAGCTATTGATTTCTTCCTCTTCTTTCTCCTTAAAAGAAGAGCCGAGACCGAGAAAAATAAAGAAGGGCCAGGCACTGGGCCTTATCTTTTCTTTTTTGCACTCCAATGTTTTTTTACTAGATTTTTATTTGGATTTTAATAAATTTATTTTCAATTATTATATACATGATACAAAGATATTAATCCTAATCATAAATGGTACGTTCGAATTCAATTCAGATTTTATTTATTCTTAAAAATTTTAAATATATTTTTACCATGACTTTATCACATTTATAACATCTTTGATTTTCAATCATGCATAACACATAAAATATTAACATATTATTTTGATATTTTAAATTAATTTAACAATCATAAAATACTTGGTTTCTTACAAAAGTAATGATTCTAGTTAAGGAACTTGTATTCTCTAACATTTCTAAAAATATTTATCTTTATTAAAAAATAAAATATCAAAACTACTATTTATCCAAATTTAAAAATAATTTAAAGAATTCCACGAAACTGTGATATTTTTTTAGCATTTAATAAAATTTTAATCGTCCGCAGTATAGCACAGGCATGCAAACTAGTATATTGTAATATATCTTTTAATATCTAGTTATTCCAAGATTTATTTTTTAACATATTTTTCAATTTAAATTAATAGAAATATCTCTATATACGAAACTCAAACCCTACCTAATATATTACATGCATAATAAATATGAAGAAAATGGAATTGTAATATCACGTGAAATTTATTTTTAATTTTTCGTGAGAAGTCAAAATTCTAATACGTGGGCCTTTCTTGTTTGCAAGCTCATGCATTTTTAGTCGATTTTATGAAATGGGCCCATTCAGCAACACATGAAACTGGTTCAATTATTGGTTTGGGATTTGGAAATCCCACAAGGAACCTCTTCCTTGAAGCATGCAGTAGTATTTTTGCCCGCAACGATGTTACGGTTCATTTTTAAAACCTATTTATTATTTTATTTTATAGAAATGAAAATAAATAATTTTAACAATCTCAGTTATTAAATTCTTGAATAAAAATTGTATTTTTTCAGTCAAGTTCTTCTCTTTTTTATGCAATTCTTTCATCTTGACAAAACCATTATATATTTTCTTATTAAGGATATGATGGTTTGAATAAAATAAATATTCATCAAAGTTTAAATGATTTAAATTTAGAAGAAAGAGTATGTATTTCCTTAATCCTAACTCCCTTTTTGTCATTCATTCATTTCTTTTATTTTATAGTGTATATTGGAAAGGAAAAATTTAATTACGAGAATTAATTTTTTTATTTTTAGATCAATTATTTTAGTGCTATTTTAATTACTAAAATTAAAATGATATTTCACTGTATGAATATCTTTGTAAATCTCGTCAAGTTAATGTAAAGAATCAAGATGATGAGAGGAAAAAAATTATATTCTTTCAATAATAAAAATTAATTTTCAATGTGAGATATGTCATTTTATATATGATTAAAGAATACAATTATTGATTTAGTAAATTTTCTAATAAATTTAATCAGATTTATCCATTATGAATAAATTAGATCTAGCTTAATAATTAACATATAACCTGACAAAAATCATGTCTATTTTTCAAGGGAAAACCTAGAGGTGCATAGAATTTTATAAAGAAATTTAGTACCACTTGTCTGTGTATTTTTTTTGTAAGATAGTCATTTTACACATGTAGATAAATAACATGTTTTCTATTAATATAAATTTTTAATCACTAAAATTCATATCTAGTAATTGAAAAATCAAATTTTATTGAGAAACGCAATGTATATTGTTGAGAAAACATAAATACCAATGTCTTTCCGATATATAAATTAATTACCATCTCAATAAACCTATAATTAAACTATGATGTAACCTCTGCTGTTGAGCTTTCATTCCCCTCTAACTTAAAAATTGACAAGGCACCTGAAAATCCTACATTATTTGGTCTAAGACTGCAATCTGAAGTGCATTTTTTAGCTTCAAATTAAAATCTCTTAAGGCCAATCCTTCTCGACTAGTACCAGGTCTTTGAGTGCATTGGACAAACAGAAGTGTCATTCAAGTGCTCAAACACAGCTATTTGGGCTCCTGGAGATGCTTTCCAAGACTGGAGATACTGATAATACGCATGTAAATTTGGTTTAGGAACTCTGGCATGTCTAGATTTGGGAGTGACCAGCACTAGTTTCTCCAGGAAAATTGCCCTCTCCAGGAAAAACTTCACCAGCATTAGTTCATCTTTCTGAAACTTAAATCCTGGCAGTTTAATGAACTTGAGGCAGTCGAAGGATGCGCTGTATTTCTGGAAAGATTGTCGATTATGCAATTCCCAATACGGCCCACGTACGAAGCAAAAATCTTTGAGCTGAAAAGATTCATTATCAACCATCAAATTAGAGTGATTAGTTCTGTGAATATATTCCAAAAAAGTCTGTGATTGATGTTAATACAATCGACCAAGACGAGAACTCAACTCACATCGATGAATATCTTCTCCAGGCTAGGGCAATGCTTCAGGAAAGAAATAATATCATGAGGATTACAGTAAATTGCACCTTCCATGATCAAATGAAATTCTTTCAAATTCCCAAAGAAGAATTGCATCTCTCTCAGTTTTCCTCCAATAAACTTTGGAGATAGGCCCTGAATATGTAAGCCATAACATTAAGTTAATACCAGCAATATTATATACCGCTTAAAAAGAAGAAACGGGATAGAAAGTATGTGATCGGACGATAACAAAGACATGGATGGAAACATACCTCAAGAAAAGTACTAGTAGTGGTGAGAACTTGAATAGGGTGGAGATCATAGACAAGATTTCTCACTCGAAAAGTCTCTGTAAAGCCTTTTGAAGGTCTGAAACTGAGCATCACATCTTTCAATTGAGGGACGATGTTAAATTTGATAAAGCAAACATGTCCACAGTAGTGGAATGAACGTAGATTTGGTGCATCAATGTAAATCCTCAGAATCTCCTGGCAATCTCCGACCTTTAACACCTTAAACGTCTTTTGGGCAAAGATTTTCAAATGAAAAATCCCATGACAGTGTGCTAAATCTAGAATCTCTAGGAAGAAGCAATTCTGAAATAAATTATCTATCAATGTCGGGGTTATAATGATCTTTCTAAGAACAAGAGTGTTCAAAACATGCAGACCTTTCAACTTTGGTGGAAGATCAAGTTGACACAAACTAAGCTTCAAAATCTTCAAGGACTTAGCTTCATAAACATCAGAATTGAGTTTAAAAGGCCATCTTCCTTCAAGAACATTTCCGCTTTGATAAAGTTCCAAATTGAGTTCTTCAACACCCTTTTCAATGGATTTCCTGATCCACTTCTCGACCAATAATTCTTCTTTGTTTGGATCAAAACATAATCGAAAACTTAAGATTCTCGACCCTGCATGGCGATCAAAAACCTTATTAACGATAGATTTAAAATCATCAGGACTACGACCCCTTGAAAAATCATTATCAAAGTCTAATCTACGATTGAAGTTCCAAGAATTCTTGAATCTCGTCGATAGAATTCCAATCTGCATGGCTTTTTTGATAGGCAAGAAAGAGAAAATCATATCAAGAACATCATCAGGAAGATCAACACTATGATCAACGTGAGTAAAACTAGTGTTAGCATGATCGAGATGATGATAACTAGAATGACACTGCCTCTTTAGTCTCTTACGTGAAATCTGTAAGAATGTTTGGCTCTTTCTTTCTGGTGAAGCCATTGAGAGAAACCCTTTCTACCTTGAACTTTCTTGTTGCTGTGATGGCTATAAATGTTAAATAAGCAGAGAAATTATAAGAGAATTTGCACCAAGCTTTTGTTATTGTTTTTGAATTTGTTTCTGTTCAGAGGCCTTGGCTTCTACGTTAGCTTGCCCTTTCGGTCTCTTGAAACACGCTGATGTAGGCAACTAAGTAGATCACAGCACTGATGTGGCTGTGATACTATATTAGGTTACCGGGTCAGCATACAATAAAATCTTAAGAGTTGTTTTCCGCGTGTGGAACTTGGAAGTGACGCAAAATTATGAGTTTTTCCTTACATTTTAGACTCATTCTTCAAGGAAATATTACTGGTTTGCAACTACTTTTGAATATAGGATCATTCTATATATGATGAAAATATCCTCCCATGAACAACTCAAATTCAGCTTGATTTATTATAAAAAAACTAAAATCAATCATAAGACTTCTAACATTATCTTTACAATTCATTATTTTATAATTTACTTAATAAATCAAGTTAGGTTTTATAAAACAAATATAGATATTCACACGCAAGCGCACATACAACAGTTCACGATAACCACTAATTGTTGTTTTTCATTTTTTGTCCCAGCTTCTGAACAATGAAAGAAGGAGGAACATTTATGATCTGTGCTGGAAAAATTGCTTTTTGGTGAAGATTTTATGGTAAACGCTTAACTTTCCGAATGGAAATCTTTAAGGACATATATAAATAAAGCAGCAGGTTGAATCTGCTAAGGTCTCAGGTGATTAGGTTAAGCGGCTCAACTCTATTAATTAGGCTTGCTTCTGTATTTCTTACTTTATTAATTAGGCTTGCTTCTGTATTTCTTGTAGTTGGAGATTCAACTATCCCAGTCACGTTTTCTATTGTTTTTCAAGCCAACAAAGTGGCAACGTATCGCAGTACAGTAGCCATGGTTAAATTCATGCTAATATAAGGTTCTAAGTTCATGCACTAGGGCAGTATAAATTCCTTCTATACAATACACGATAATCTCCAATTCCTTCTATACTTCATGCGAAAGGTCTGTGCATTGTGTTGAGTAATCTGCATTCTCAGCGCTAAATCTTGAACACCTTAAACTTTTTTACTAGTCTGATTGATCCACACACTCCAGACCTCGATTCTTGGCTTTGATCCAATATTTCCGAAGATCGTTTGCTTCACTAGCTAGCCTCTGTCATTTTCAACTGATCTTATTAATATATGAAAACGCAAGACAAAAGGCCTGCAAAAGGCAAATGTAAACCAGCAACCTGCTAAGGGGCAAGAACCTGCAAATTAGCATCGAGATTAAAAGTTCTATAATCAAATTAATTACTCTATATATTCCCTTTTCAGAGATGAGTTTTTTTTTTTAGATAATGAAATTCACAATATATTGATAATTATGATATGTATATAAATAACGATAAATAGTTATCGTAAATAGAAACAAAAAATATGGAAAAAAATCTATTCAAAGACAAAATAATACTCCGAATATATATATATATATATATATATATATATATTAGAGTTAGAGAAAGAAAAATAGGAACTTCCTATTCAAATGTAATATTTCTACATCAAGAAAACTTCCAAATATGGTTTTGATTTTTATTAGAAACAATTTTAATTTTAATTTATTTTTTAGTGTGAAAAATTGTTTTTATTTTTAATTAATGAAAACATTTTCTAATTTTCTATTAGAAAAAGAAAAATTAGTTTATGTTAGTGAACATAACCAAAAGCTTTTTCATAATAAAAAGAGAGAAAATGTAATTTTACCAATATTTTATATCTCATCAAAGTTTAATTATTATCTTTATTTGTCATTATCTCTTAATAATACTAATTATAATAGTCCAAGTGAAAATTATTTTCCGTACTTAACACAAATTCTGCATATGTATAATAACAATAACTATGATAATTAAAAGAAATAAACAAAATTAGACAATTTTTTCAAAACTTTTCACAAATATGAATACTTTATGGTTCTTTACTCAGTTTCCATTAAAGGAAAATACATTTATTATATATTATCCTATGCATCAGAGAGTTCTATTCCAATTTATAAATTATTACCCGTGTGTTAGACAAAATTTATTATTTCACAAATATATTGATATATCTAAAATGAACACTATATCATTAATTCATATTATGCCAGGTCAAATCAATATGTTTTTTAATATAAAAAAATATTTAAATATTATTAATATTTTTTCAAGAAAAAAAAAATTAAACTAAGTAAAAATTGATTTATTATGACCTAATTCATTTTGCGGCTCCAAAAGTTACTTGAACGACTTGTGAAAATGTATGTTGACTCAGAAAATTTTTTAATATGACATCTTTTTTTATATTAAGATTATAATATATTGAATTAATTTGGGTTAAATCAAGTTAACATATCAAATCCATAACTTAAGTTATAAGACTATAATAACCATATAAAAAGAAAATTAAAACAAATTATGAAGTTCAATTCTTAATTAACCCAATGTTGAATGATGAAATTCAAAAAAATCATTTAAAAAAGGACTTATAGAAAGCAAATTGAAACAAAATACAAAATTCAATTTCTAATTAACTCAATATTTAAGGATGAGATTAAAAAAAACATAAAAAATAATTTGAGTTAATCTATCAAAATCATAATGCAGGTTATAAAACTAAGATAATCTCATAAAAATAAAATTGAAAAAAATGATATAATTTAACCTGGATTAACTTGTCAAACTCGTGATCTTGATCATGAAATCGAAATAGCCCTATAAAAAATAAATTAAAACAAATTATAAAATTTAATTCTTAACCAACTATGTTAGATCTAATTTTGAATGATGAAATTTATAAAAAAAAAATCAATTAAGAAAATAACACAAAAAACAATTCAAGTCAACCTGGGTTATAAAATTAGGAAAAATTCAATAAAAAAAAATGAACCAACTAGATTAACATGTTAAACTCGCAACTCTGTTCATGAAATAAGGACAATCCAATAAAAAATAAATCAAATATTGAAAGACCTATGACCTAGATAATAAAACCGAGATAACCTTTTAGAAAAAACAACATGGTTTATCTTGGGTTAACTTGCTAAAACTCGTAACCCTGATCATGAAAATAGAATATCCGTATAGAAATAAATCAAAACAGATTATGAAGATCTATTCTTAACCGATTAAATGTTAAATGATAAAATTAAAGAAATAATTAATTAAAAAATATAAAAAACAATCCAAGTTAACTCTTAAAGCATTATTCTCAAATTATGAAGCCAAAATAACATTATAAAAAATAAACTAAAATAAATAATAAGGCTTAATTCTCAAATGATGAAATTTGAAAGAGAAAAAAGTGAATTAAAAAAAAATCAATTAAGTTAACCCGTAACCTAATTTATAAAAGTAGAACAACTCAATAAAAAATAAATTCAATATTAAAAGTTAAAATTAACAAAAAATTCAAAGAAAAAAAAAACAAAAGGTACAGTAAAATACTTAATTTTTTTTTTTTAAAAAAAACCAATTAATGTACGGTTTGATGGCAAAAGGCCTTTATCTTTATGCATGCCTTTTGGGGTTCAATATCTAGGACAAAATAATTATTTTTCTCCTTTTATTATTTCTCATTAAGCAACATATGACAAATTATAAATTATATCTTGAATGAATTGAATTGGTCCGATCATCTGGTTATCACTGTTCGATCTAGATTTGGTCAGATCAATCACATACCTCTAATCCAGACCATGCAATTATCAATTTGATCAATTCGGTGTTTGATTGTGATAACACTGGTTTATATCTTATATTTTGGCCTCAACACGCAATGTTTTCTAGAGGAGACCATTCAATTGATTTCTGTGAAGGTCTATGACACTCCACTTGCACTCTGTTGACCAGAATCACCTTTGTTTTCTGTAATGACTTGGTTACAAACGCAGTAACTTCACCTTCTTGTAATCTCTTCACCAATTCTTAGTTGCTAGAATGAACACCGCGCATCACATCAGTCCAAATTCAGCTCTAGAATGTAAACGTCTCTCTGCTCCTATTGAATGGTACAATATTCAGGCAAATGTTGCTTGTCTCTATGATTTACTTCCATGTTAAGACGAGATGTATGGCCATCGAGGAGTGACTCAAGGATCGTGGTGGAGGGTTTCATTTTCGGATTGAGTAAAATCACCACCATTGATGTTGATGCCATCTTCTTCCATTGAAGCACAGGAGAAATTCCACACGGAGGCACAGTTCTCATAACCTGCATAAAACACAAAATTATGGATGGATAAGATATAACCTTATAAAATACATCAACTAGAAATATTGTGGCAAACTATCTTTACCCACTGGTTTAATCTGAAGGACCAACCACACCAATTTGATAATTTCCTTGTCGCGAGGTTAATAGTTTTAGCTAAAACTTAAAAGGAAGCCTAGGAAATATCCTATCATATTTCAGCTGGAAAAGCCAAACCTACATAAACTTTTAAGGCATCAAAACAAGACTTTTTAGGTTAATGAAGCAAATGCACATAAAACAAGACTGGCATAGGAAGGATAGTGATTAAAAGTTTGCCTAAATGAATACTTTTAAGGCATCAGGGTCGCTAGTTACCGGTCAAAGGCAAATTCTCATCACAAGCATCAGGAACTTTAAATCTTCGGTGCCCTGATGAAGAGACTGCCATAGGAAGGAATGGGTGGAAAGCGAAACCATTAACTGTGTCTGCATTGTGCATGGAATAGAAAAAATGATTAGAAGTAGGAGACGCTTTGCTTATTTTCAAAAGAAAAATACTGACCGCTTAAATGGATATGGCATATGCATACCTGTTGCAGCCTGAAATCCTGAAATCCACTGCCCATTTTGTAGATCATATATATGAACCAAACCATCCTAGAGGCAGAAATGGGGAAAATGAGCACCAGACATTCAAAGATCTAATTACTGGTTATTGGTAACAATACATCC